CCTTTACCTCCCTCCCAACGACACACTTGCCGAGACTATCAGGCTGCTGTGATGGCCACTGTACCAAACACAGATGTAGTAACTCTGTGACAGAAGGAAGCGACCGAATAGCCCAGTGAAGCCATGCCACCTCAGCCCTGTCCACACGCCACCCACTCTGGAATTAGATCGGCTCCTCCCTTTCTCCCTGAATCTCGTTTGTATAAACATTCATATGTGTGTTCTATTCTGTGCCTTCTGCCCCCACCCCCAAGCATATGGAAGCCCTCACCAGGCACTATGCTGACACTGGAATCCCACTCCTTCCTGCTGAGGCCTTGGGGGCAGACCAGGATGCTGGGTGTCTGCTGACCCTGTCTCGGCCAGCCACTTCTCACTCTGGGCCCCGTTGCCGCAGGAACCAGCATCCTCCAGCTGGTTGAACAATTGGCATAGGGCCTCTTCTTTTAGTCCCGTTTGGAGCTCCTTTTTGCCTCATTTCCTGGGCTTCCTATCCTCCCATCCCCCGGGGATCAATCCGTTCATGGTCAAGACCATTTGTCTGGGACAAAGGCAGAGATTATAGCCTCCAAACCTCAGGCACTACCCCATCTTTCTGCATGACCCTGCCCTGGTGTAGCTTCCTTCTCGTTCCTTCATTGTGCGGTGCGGGAGACCACAGTAGCCGCATTCAACTTACTTCTGCCCTGAATGTAACCTAGCCATTGGAGCTTTCTTTGCTGGGAAACAGAGGAAACTGAGGGGGTCTAAGGAGAAGACATCCTGCCCAGGGCGCTGGCAGGCTGTTTGTGTGCCCGCTACTGTTCCCAGGTAGGTTCTGGTGGATTCAGACCCCCAGCAGGGTGTGTTCACAGTGGGCTAATGTTGGTCTGCTCTTCAGACTCATGATTGTGGGGCTAGCTGTGATTCCCCCAATACCCACCCCACTGGCTCCTATTCTTTCTACTCCCCAAGAAAGGCAAGAATATGGCACCTGCATCCCACAAGGGTACAACCTTTTCTTTACAATCCAGTTGAGGTGACACAACCCCATCCAGGGGGGATGACTTGATTTCTGGGTGTGCATCTGTACTTAAAATGATCGTCCGTCAACAAGACAGAAGGGGCAGCGCAAACACCACACTCCCCATTCTGTATCCAGAACACTAAAGCCTTGGGTTCAGGAGAAAACCGGCTACAGGAGCCTGAGCCAGGACTAGGCGTGGACTTGACCAGAGCCAGTGCCCCAGATCGGCTTGCTCACTGGAGGTGGAACCTGAGCATGTCGCCCCCTTGTGGACACTAAAGCATCCCACAGGCCCATCTCGCTTAACAAGGAACGCCCCCAGCATTGTCTACGGAGAATGCCACTTCTGCAAGCCTGCTGGGGCACTGGAGGGCTCTGGCTTATGTCTCTGAGCTCTAGACTGTACCTGTGGGGTACAGAGGCACACTTGTCACTGAGCCGAGCCAAAGACCCATTACAGGCAGACTGCCAGCACTGCTGATGGGGGCCAGCACAGAGGCCATTTGCCCCTACTTGGTCCTGGGGAGTCAGGCTTCCTGGGGCGATAGCAGGCTGAGTGAGGCCTTGGGTCCAAGGTTGTCAGGTTGGTTTCCAGCCTCAGCTGACTATCACCTGCCCCCATCTGACCCTGGGTTCTTCTTAGAGGGACCTTCTTGACCGCTGAAGAGCTACTTTCATAAGGACAAGGGAGTGAACTGTTTGCTCAATTTCCTATGGCTGCAAAATTCTTGGCCCTGCCTTCATCCAAACCAGATGGAACAAGAGCTCCCAAACTCTACATCAGCTGGCCAGTCCATGTGACACTGAATTGATGTGGTCCCCATAGGACAACATGGTGTACCTCTCGCCCTCCCTGAGACAACTCCATGGGGACCACTGGCTTTCTGTGTACCTCCTACCCGCAGGCAAGAGCCACACCCACCCTCAGCAGGCAGCCTGGCTTTGTTGAATTCAGGCAGTGGTCTCCAGTGCAGCTTGGGATTCTAAGACAACTGAGGTTGCTTGTTCAAGGCTGGTCCTTGCTCAGAGGTTGCCCTATGGTCTTGTACTCTGGTTTTTTGTGGATAGTCCTGCTGACCAACCATCCAGTAGGCACATTATGCTTGGATTACTGGTCACCGGCCTCTGCGGACATCACCTTTGACAGGCTATGTGATCCAAGTTCATGATAATGGGAATACACTTGCTGTGTTCCTCTGCCAGAGGGGGCTCCCCGTGGGAACTGGGAGACCTGGGGATGAAAACTGGGGTTCCCTATAAGCCAAACACCTTTGTCTTCTTACTGTTCTCTTTAAAAATAGAGAGCATCTGGGTGTGGTGGCATGTATCTTTAATCCCAGCACTGGGGAGACAGAGGCAGGGGGATGAATCTCTTAGTTCAAGGCCAGCCTGGTCTACAGAGTGAGTTCCAAGACAACCAGAGCTAAATAAACAAACAAAAACAACAGCCACAATCACAACAAAAAACCCAACACAAAATAACAAAAACCAGACCTCAACTTCCTTCAAGTGGGGAATTTACCATAATCCAGGTCTGAAGAAGCGTGATCTCCCTCTCACGTGTGGCCATTTCCCAGCTCGTGACTGCCACAAAACCCCCTTTTTAAGAAATCATAGGGGGCTGGGAAGATGGCTTAGCAGTTATGTGAGCACTTACTGTTCTTGCAGAGGACCTGGGTTCTATTCCTAGCACCCATATGGCAACTCACAACTGCCTGTACCTCTAGTTCCAGAGGATCTGACACTTTCGGCCACCATGGGCACCAGCCATGCAAATGGTGCACGGACACACATACAGGTAAACACTCATGCCCATAAAGTAAAAATCAACCTTAAGGAACAAAACTCTTCAAGAGAATGGGATGGAGGGCATTGGTACAAGAGGCTTCCTCTAGCTCGTGTCAACCACGTTGGAGTCAGAACGACCAACTCACATCAGTTTTTCTGTTTGGGGACACAAAGCCATATTCCATCCCATGCTTTCCACAGAGACCCTTTCCAGGGCCAAGTGCTGCAGGCTCCGCACACACACTCACCTGCTGTTTCTGGCGGCCAGTTCCTCCCGCATCTTTTTAATGTCACTCTTGCATTTTTCGATCTCCACCACTTTAAGTCCTTCCACTGGTGACAAAGAGACACAGATGGGGTCACCAGAAGTAGTCGCATGGATCTAGCCAGCTGGTAGCTGAGGGTCTCAGGAGGATGCTGGCTCATGGCAGAGCCTTCCATGCCTTCTCATGCTACTGATATGTGGGGATCCCTCAGCTCCCCACCAGTCAAGAAACAAACAGGCAACATCAAGGAAGAGCAGGGTGAGACTCAGTCACATTCTGGGGGGCCGGGGGAGTCTCAGTGAACTGGAGAGTGTGCCTGCTAACAAGCTACTAGCCAAGATGTTCCCTCGAAAATGCGGGGAATGCCTGGAAATGCTGCAGGAAGCTGGGTTCTTGAGGAAGAAAAAAATATGTTATTTTATGACCACCTCTTGGTTTTCTGCCAAAGGACAGTGCCCACCGTGACAATGCACTCTCTTTCTCACTGAGTTGGGCTCGGAATAACTGTTAAAAGCACAGCATGGCCCCTTCTAAAGGAAAAACAGATTTAGGGAGTTGGCAAGTTCCTAACAATGCCTCCCACCCAAGAAAAGGAGCTGCAGCTCGGGCGCCTGTGTGAAGGCAGCCTGGCATAACTCAGACTCCTTCTGGGCTTTCTAGAACTTTCCAAGGTAGTAGTTAAGCTGGGATAGGACACCACAGGGACACTGCCTCTTCTGCACAAAGGGACACAGTTAGCTCTGGTCCTGGTGACTTGCTTCTGAGCCAAAGAAACCTCCGTCCCTCCCATACAAGGCTGACAGGAAGCTGTGCAGACCAAAATGAAGGTCTTAGGTGCCAGTAGCTGGGTTAGGGGTGGTGGCAGCCTGGGGACAAGTCAAGGTAGCAGCTGTTGGGAGGACACACAGAGGCCGGGCATGTTTGTTCACCCACTCAGTCACCCTCCTTTGGAGTGAGGTTCTTTACACTTTCCTGTATCGCTGGTACCCAAAGAAGTTGAAGGTCATGGGCGTTGTTCTCAGGATAGATGCTCAGGCACCCCTGGGGTTCCTTAGCAATGGATTTAATTTGGCCACTGTGGCCTTGTTTAGACCTCCTGGTTAGATATTTGCAGGCTGAAGGCATGCCTCTAGAACATGAACGCAATATGTGGTAAATCAACAACCACAGCAAGCTTGCCGCTCAAATCGATTGATGCACGAGAGGTAGGACCTTGTGGGAAGTAAGCGGACCCACGGAGAGGTGACCCGCAGCTCTGCTTGCCATGTGGGTTTGAGACAAAGCTGTCCCGTGTGACACAATCAGCTTAATCGTGCAACTGTCACTCATGCCTTGGTTGTCAGTCGTTGGGAGTACAGGTGTGACCTACACCTGGGATTCTGCAGCTCATCGCAGGCCCCATTCCAGTTCCTCCACCACTCCATGGAGAAGGAAGCCTACTTCAGGGTGGAGATGCTCCATACGGAGAGGCGGTCAAAAAACAATGGTGAGAGGTCACTGTGTTCATGACCTGGCCCAAGTTCCATCCTTTAGGGCCCTCTTGGTCTCTCTTAAGCTTGGCAGACAGGTAGACACAAATACCCCAAGCTAGTACAAGTCCCCTGAATCATTTAACCTTGCCAGGGCCCTGGTGATGCAATCAACGTGACCTTCTGCCATGCTGCCAGGCAGCATTACTCTGCTTTCAAACCTTGGGAAGTGCATGTGGACTTCAGAAGGGATTTCTGAAACAATAATGTGTATGCATGTTTTGCATCCATAGGTGTCAATGCACCACCGAAGTGCAGTGTCCCGGGAGGCCAGAAGAGGATGCTGGATCCCCCTGTAACCGGAGTTAAAGATAGTTGCCATGTGGGTGGGTGCTAGAAACTGAACCCAGGTCCTCTGGAATTGCAGCCAGTGTTCTTAACCACCGAGTCATCTCCCCAGCTCCGACTTTGGAAGGTTTTGTGTGGACTTCTGTATCTTGAACCTCCCAATGAAAAGATTTAAGAGTGACTTCCTCAGAGATGGTGGCTCGGAGGAAAAGGGGCCATAGCAGTAGCTAAGGCAGTCTTCACTTTCTTCCACATTAAGAACCTGCAGGATCTGGGGGACTTGTCCTCTCCTGGCTCTCAAAACTAAGGCTCTCCGCTCAAAGGCAGGGAGCTGAGCTTCACTTCAAAGCCTCTTCCTGGGGCTGCTCTGAAGGTTTGCCTTAGGCACACTTCCTGGGTTTGGGGGGGGGCGCAGATACAGAAGGGCTGGTTTGGTTCAGTTCAGTATGGAAATTCTGGATTGTTTGCGTGTCCCGTGTCCAACTCTGCCCCCAGGGGTTAGCTCTGGCTGTGGTCCACACTGGTGTTTAGGTCTTGGTTCAGGTCCAGGGCATGGGTACAAAGGGTAGATGGAGCAGGGTTGCCCTGTGCCCCCCACCCCCAGCACACCAGAAAGGAAGTGAATAGCTCCAGGCAGGACAGGAGGCAAGGGCCAGGCTGTTCCATGGTTAGGAAATCACCTTTGACCCACCAGTAATCCCAGCCGCCTTACAGGCTAAACATTTACACAGAAAGGAAGAAAAAGGGCTAGAAATCACAGAGGAGAATCATGTTTGGCTTAAGGTCAAAGGGCAAGCAGGAAATTCCATTCATGACAAGGTCAGTGCAGTGTGGGGGCTTACTGGTGGCCAGGCTAGCTGGATGTCCCTCACCCTAAGACACAGATAATAGCTGATGGCAGCCAGGTGAAACTGCACATGTCTGCCTGCCCATGTGTGTGTCTGTCCATGTCTTTATGCTCATATTTTTGCATGGTTGTGTGTCTATATGGAGCAGGGGCTCGAGTTGAGCTCCTGGCAGCCTATGCAGTCATACAGGGTCAGGGCCATCTGGGTTGGACAATTCCCTAGCGTCCTGCTCCGAAAGAGGTCTGACTGTAGTCGCCTCTCAAACTTTTCACCCTGTCTCCCCTACTTGCATATACCCGACAACCCCTGTCTACATCTTCAGAATGAGGACCTAAGTATCTGGACTTGAGTTTCTCTGAAACTCAAAGTCCCTGGGGATCAGCATGGGTGCCATTCCTGGCTATATCCGTGCTAAAAGGAGAGGTCTCTGGAGACTCTGGAGACTAGGAAGTGGTCAGCTAAGAGGACCGGGAATGAATGAGCCCAGAGCCAGCTGGATTTCAGTGGCAGAGAGCCCATGCATGCAAGGCCACTCCCGGGGGTGCAAGAAGACACGGAGATGCCTGAAGTGAGACCTATAGTTGGCGACCTGGGACAGAAGAGGCATCAGAAGAGGACAGACAAATGGAGGATGAGGAGGTACCTGCTGTGTGTGGCAGTCATTAGCCAAATGGAGACAGTGGCTTTGTGTATCTGTTGATGTGGCTGGTGCCCTGGCAGCAAACTCCTTCCATGGTCTGTGGCTAAAGTCCCTCTCACGTTTAGAGAGTCCAAAACTCCATACATCTCGGCAGGAGACTAATCTGATCTCCCCTGACAAAGAGGGAACGATGCATGCTCACTGCAGTGGGTTGAACTGTGTCTCACAGAGCAAGTATTCCTATCCTAAATCCCGGATCCTGTGAATGCCACGTCAGACGAGAGATCCTTGGCCGTTATTAGATAGAGAACTTGAGACGGGACTATCCTTGATTCAAACAGAGGTGTTTTAAGAAACAGACGGGGAGTACTGAGATATGGGGGCTGGGAGGAGGGAGCCACATGAAGACAAGGGCAGACCGCAGCCATGGAGTGATTCCAGCCAGGCAACCACGGACTACCAGAGACAGCCTAGAGATGACTCTCCCTCAGATCCCAGAGGCACCAGCCCTGCTGACACTTTCTGAGCCAGAGCTTCCAGCTCCCAGAAGGTACTGCTGGGATTCAGACCCCCAAGGTGCAGCACTCTGAGGTGTAAATTTGTGAGGTGGCCCCAGGAGTGCACACTCTTCCTACTCTGGCTGTGTTTCAGCTCCGGCAGGCTTTGAATCTGGTACCAGTGGGAGCAATGGCAGTGGGGACCGTGGGGACCCAAATGAGGAGATGCCAGAGGGGTGACAGAGGGACTAGGAGTTACAAGGATAGTGTGTGTGGGGGGGTTGTCATGCTGCACCACACCCTCTAGCAGTGTGGTTGGCTCCCCAAGATCTCCTTTTCTGTTCAGAGCCCTCACGACGGCAAAACAGACGTGTAGGAGGATGGCGCCTCCCCCAAGGAAAGGTGGCGTGGACTCCAGACACTGGTCTTTTCTTGTCTCATTTGCTGAATAAACTGGAGTGGTCACTATCTGTGGTTCCCCATCATCCCAGGCAAGACAAGATAGTCTTGAGGACTCAAAGATCAGTTGACTTGGGAAAAGTCAACGTGCTCTGAGAAGGACTCATGAGATGATGGGAACGTGTTTCAGCTTATTCCAGGGAGCTGGGTTTTATGTGATAGAAATTTTTTCTTGAAGAAAAAAGAGAAGCAATTAAAAAGCAAGATAAAAAGAAGAAGAAGAAGAAGAAGAAGAAGAAGAAGAAGAAGAAGAAGAAGAAGAAGAAGAAGAAGAAGAAGAAGACATCTACTCAATCTTCCGAACAGAATCTGCCACATATTCTTCAGGGATGCTTGCCTCTTAATGGCTTCCTGTTTGGATTTTGTTTACTCAGCCCAAGTTAATAAATTAGGTGCCCGTGTATTGCCAGGCTGAGCCTGACAGTGACAGAGAGCCTGGCTGTGGAGCTGAGGGTGGAATGTGGGATCCGCAGGCCTATAGGGCGGAAGCATCGAACCTTTCATTGATCCTCACGACAGATGAGGTGACTTGAAGCTAGTTCCTTCCCCAAATCTGACTTTTTGGAACCTGAACGGAGACTGGACCTGACTCTCGCTCACGGGCAGAGTTTCTTCTTTCCTTTAGCAGGGGCTGAAAACTGAGATGCAGATGTCACATACTTATTCCAAACTCTGCAGAAGCAAGCTGCATAGCAGCGTGAAGAGACACTCTCCTGTCTCATGCAGAGAGGCGCAGAGCTGAAGTCTTGGCAGCGGTTCTGCTGGGCCAGACTGAGGCCATTTGGGGTCTTACTTTGTGTTCTGTGCACAGACAAGGCTTTGGACGAGCTGCGCGTCACAGAAACATGTGCTTAGACCTGTCCTGGTCTAGCCTTTGTGAATATCAGAGCGGCACGCCAAGAAAGGATCTGCTTGCCGTCAGTACAAACTCGCTCGCGATTCTAAGCGGCTAATTCTGACGGTGGCTAAAAGTACACCTGAAAAGCGGAAAGAAGAAAATAATAATAATAATAAAAAAAACTCCACTCACGTTCCACCCGTTTCTCCAGCACGGCCAGGTGGTTTGCAACTTCTGCTTTCAGCTCGTTGATCTTAAACGCTCTGGGGGGGAAAAGTGGGGAGAAAAGATAAAACATGACCCAGACTGGCAAACATGTATGGGTTCCTACCTGAGGTGAGGTCTCCAAGGAGGCTAGAGAGGGGACCAAGACAGCAGGAGAGGCTTTTAAAGAATGCATAATGTCCCTGGGTCTGGTGTCTTTGTTACTCTGTCCTGGGTTCTCTGTGTAGACTTAAGGTGGGTTGACCCCAAGCCAGTACCCTACTCTGCCCAACACGGACAGCTATGGGGTACTACCATGTTCAGAAATTGCTTTGAGAAACTAACAATACTAATATAGAATTTGGTAGGGTGTTGATGAATGCAAAGGAAGCCCCCCACCCCCACCCCAGCAGTTCAGTGGGAGACACTCATTTGTAAAAGGGTGTTTTGTAGGCGGCTCCAAGTCCTGGAAGAATGGAGCGGTGGGGGTGGACTCACCGTCCCCGGAAATCTACCAGCAGCCACTGGACACAATTTTGGGGTAAGATGAAGGTTTGCTAGAATGAGCCCGGCCAGGCTCGCTACCGAAGCTACAAAGCCTGAGTACGGCTAGGCTCAGCTCCCACACGCCTGAACAGTCCATGCAGAGAATACGGTACCTGGAGAACTGCTCTGCCACCTGGGCCAGCACACCCTGGATGAGTTCTTCTCTTTCTACAAACCAAAGGAGAGAGACCGATGCAGTACAGGCTGGGAGGGAGGACGCAGAGGCAGGCAGGTCACTAAGGGTTCTGTCCCTGAGCGAGCTACAGGTGTTACCGCGAAAGATGCTTAGACTTCAGTCATGGGGAGCAGGGCCTCCCTGAAGGTTCTTCCTCTTCTCTGCTGCCTGCTCTTACTGGCTCCTTGTCAGTGGCCCAGGGTGATGTTCTCCAGGTACTACCACAGCGAGATAAGGCAGGCCAGCCTGGGGGCTCTAAATATGGATAGCTTTCTCTTAGGGCTCATTTTATGGGGACAATTACTATGACAGAATGGGGTCAATGCCCCCTGGAGTGAAAACATAGTGTTCTCAGGATGGGCCTGCAGAGAGGAAGCAGGCTGGGTGGAGCAGGCCTGGCCTCTTGCTGCCTGCCCTGTAAAACTGGGTTGGGTGGCCAGTTTTACAAGGTTCAGGTCCCAGACTGATCATAACTTGCCTATTTCCTATTTCCTGACCAGCCCAAATGCTGAGACTTATGGGAAGGTGCAGACGGCCAGGGCACTGCCCTCTGTAGTGAGTCTGTCTGTGTCCTTGAGAGAGGGGAGACCTTCTTGTCCCAGCTAATGATTCATTCATAGCCCCAAACTCAGAGACCCTATAAAGGGATTCATAGACGCTTCTGCAGAGGGGGTATAGCTCAGTGGTAGAACATTTGATTGCACAGATGCTTCTACATAGGCCTGGTGCTTAACTTGCCCCAGCAATCAAAACAAAGCAAACCACAACAGCACAGCCAAGAAAATACCACGGCAATTTAGTCCAGCAACGAAACTCAAAAGTTAAGAACGTCCCTGTTTCCAGCCCGTGCCTGCTTTCAGGTAAATGGTCGGGAACACACAAAAGACAGGCGACACGGCGTCAGTTAACAGGGAGAGAGTCAGCACACCTGTCTGTGTGTGGTGGCGACACGTGTGTGTTTAGCATACCTATGGAGGTCAGAGGATAATTTGCGTGAGTCAGGTCTCTCATTTCATTGTGCGGATTTGAGGAACCAAACTCAGGTCGCCAGGCTTGGCGGCAAGCACCGTTAACTGTGGAGTCGGCTTGTGGGCCTCGGGACTTACTAAATTAAATATGACGAATTGGTACACACATTCTACTAGTGATAATAATTTCAGCTCGGCATGCCTTTTTATCCCAGCACATGGGGGTGGATGGGAGGGGGCAGGAGTTAGCAGGCCAGGTGGGCGGGAAGAACAAGTTCAAGGTCAGCTGTAAACTGCACAAGGAAACCCTGTCTAAAGCGGGAGAAAGAGGAAGGGAAAGACAATCATTTAAAAATATTCATGTCTGGGAGACAGAGGCAGGAGGATGACCAGCGAGTACATGATAAGCCAGCCAGAGTTATGTAGCAAGATCCTAACTTTAAAAACAAAAACAAGGGGGCTGAAGAGATATCTCAGCAGCTAACAGCACTGGCTGCTCTTCCAGAGGGTCCAAGGTCAAGTCCCAGCACCCACACGGCAGTTCACACCTGTCTGTAACCCCTGTTCCAGGGGATCAGCCTCCATCACACAGACATACACGTAGTCAAAACCACCAATGTACATTAAACAAGAAGGAAAAGAAGGGGGCTGGAGAGATGGCTTGGAGGTTAAGAGCACTGGCTGCTCTTCCAGAGGTCCTGAGTTCAATTCCCAGCAACCACATGGTAGCTTACAGCCATCTGTAATGAGATCTGGTGCCCTCTTCTGGCGTGCAGGCATACATGGAGGCAGAATGTTGTATACATAATAAATAAATAAATCAAAAAAAAGAAGGAAAAGAAGATTTATAAAAAACAAAAGCCAAGTAGAAAAGTTAGCATCTGTTGTTAGACGTAAAAAAAAAAATGGTTTTTGAGAGGCTGAAGAAATCTTTCAGAGGTTAAGAACGCTGGCTGCTCTTGCAGAGGACCCGGGTTTGATTCCCAGCACCCACATGGAGGCTTACAGCCAACCATTTATAACTCCAGTCGCAGGGTACCCAATGCCCCTTCTGACCTCTATGGATACCAGGTATGCACACGGTACACAGACATATATGTTCAAGTCAAACCCTCATAAATAAATAAATCTAAAACATTTTTCAAATGCCATTTCAAATAGTAACAGAACAATCCTATTTTTCAAACATGCTGGGAGGGAACCTTCAAAAACACCAACCGTTATCTTTTGCTTGTAAGATTCCATTTATTTATTTATTTTTTTGCTTCCTCAGAGACTCTTTCATTTTTACCATGAATATATTTTAATTTTCTAATGAGAAAAAAAAAAAAGTCGTCCCCCCCTCCCTTCTTGGTCACTTGTACTCAGTCCAAACAACAGAACCTTGTTGGTACCCCAGAAGTCTCTTTGGCCTCCCTGAGTCCCCGTCCCTCCACAGGTCACCTGAGCGCTAAGCAGATGCCAGCTCACAGGAACGCTGGTGTGCCGGGTGTGTCCTCCTGTGTCTAACGCCTGCAGAAAAGACTGGGTGGCAGCGGCAGTGCCTGTAGCAGGGACAGTGCCTGTAGCAGGGACCTGGGATGCCAGGACACCCTCACCAGGCTGATGCCACTGAAAACTCCAAACTTAGCAATTCGGTTCATCAGCGGTGTGAGTACCATTGCAAGCAGCAGGTGGCTAGGCGGCACTGTTGCAGGCACAGGCAGACGGCACGCAGGTCGCTTAAGGAAGTTCTGCAGTTGGTGCTGTTATGCCCAAGTGTCTGGTCCCCAAGTGAATTCACTGAGCCGGATATCCAATGCAAATTACATGAGGGTTTTTAATTCAAACTCAAGTTTGGTCTACACCTCCATCACACCAATGCAGTGGGCGAAGGAAGTGCAGCCCTGAACCCAGGAAAGGGGCAAACTTTTAAAGAGGAAATGCCACAACCAGGGGCGTTTGAGTCCTGTCGTCTTGGGGTTGGGTGAGGAGCGCACAGGATAAGGTAGTTTCTGAACCCATTGGTCAGTCTTTGGGCACGAAAACCTAACAAAGAGCCATTAATAACTGACAAGGTGTCTTCAAGGAAGAATGTCTCCCAGGAACATCTGGGTCTCGTTAAATTTTATGGCCCTGCTCCCTACCTTCTTAATTGGCCATTTTTAGGGTCTCTGTTCAGATTTCTGCTATCAGCGCATTCCTGGGGCTGAGATCTGCTCTCTCCACAGCTCATTCTACAGCTTAAGATGAAGCCCCTTCTTTAAAAGGAAGTTTGCAAAGTCAGGTCCTCACAGCGCTGGGTGCTGGGTGCAGCCCACTGTGTGAGCCCAGGAAGATGTGTTCAAGTTCAGACACATCACGCCATCTCTGTGTGTCTTCAACAGTAAGCTGCTGTGATAGTCCCCCCTACGGAGGCTCAACATGGCAGGAACAGTCGCCTGGTTCACACCACTTCCAGGCGTTTCTGCCCCCTTCCTCCCTTTCTTTTGGCAGGATTTTGCCAAGTAGCCCAGGCTGGCCTCTAACTTGGGCTATCTTTATGCTTTAGCCTCCTATGTGCCTCGCCCCTTTCTTTCTTCCCTTCTTCCTTTCCTAAAGTATACTTGCTAGCGTTTATCCTCTGTACACAATAAAAAGAAAAAAAAATGCCACAAAGAAGAATGACTCAATTCGGATCAACCTCTTAAGCCCTCGATGCTTCACAACCTGTGGGAAATCTTCCGGTGCCGTATGACCTTATACTCACCGCAAGTTCACGTCAAGTGTGGACGCTCACTCTAGAGCAGGTTCAGTCACCCCAGCCCAGCTTCCGGTTGTCTGCTCCCCATCTACTCAGGTGTCAGTCCAAATATCTGCCTTAAACCACTCCCTCGTGGTGACCACCTCCCTGAGGACACCTCGGTACAGCCTACCTGAGTCACCCTCCTGTCCCCACGCCCTGCACACACTGCACAGCCCTATGCCACAGAAGCCATTTCACCGTCACCACCGTGACCTCTCAGAACTGTGTCGCCCATTAAACCTCCCCCTGAGGAACCTCACAGGGTAATTCTCAGTACTCAATAAAGGCATTAACCTGCAGGTCATCTTTTGTCTTTGTCCTTGTGCTCCTGGCCTCTCTGTGTGGTCTATAGTCCACCTGCCTATCCCCAGACCTATAAGTAAGGACTTCTTTATTTCAAACTTGTGTCTCCTAATCACTCACCTAAGACCCTGAGGAAATGGGCGGAACTAACCCATGGCCACTGGCTTCATAGCCTCTAAGAAGAACAGTCACTTTTCACAGCATGTCTTCGAAGCCCAACTCAAAGTGTCCGTCACAGAGCCACAGTTGAGTGGCTTGTGGGTCTATGGACTGGCCTTCTGAGAGGCCTGTGCCTGCCTGGGAAGAGAAATGGCCTCCACTGGCAGGGCCTCTGGGAGCTTTCAGTTTGGTGCAGTGCGATCTTAGATTAGTTATAGTGAAATCTTTAGAAAAAGTAACAGTTTGGATTAACTCAAGTTGCCGATCTCTAAGTATTCATATAAATTCAGAAGTCATCCAACAATCAGTATTGTGTGTGTGTGAGAGAGTGGTGTGAGTGTGTGGTGTGTGTGTTAGTTTATGTGTATGTGAGTGTGCGTGTGTGTGGTGTGTAAATGTGAGTGCATGTGTATATGTGAGTGTGTATGTGAGTGCATGTGTATGAGTGCATGTGTGTGTCTGTGTGTGTGATTGCATATGTGTGTATGTCTGAGTGTGTATGTGAGTGCATGTGTGTGTATATGTGAATGTGTGTCTGTGTGTGTGCCCACATGAAAGCCATGCTACACCTATGTAGATTAGAGGACAACTTGTATGAGTTAGTTCTTGCCTTCTACTATGTGGGTCCTGGGATTCAAACTCAGGTGGTCAGGTGGCAGCGAGCGCTCCTACCTGCTGAGCCATCTCTCCCCGGCCCACTAGCCGCAGCTCTAGTCAATTCATGGGTAAAAGAGGAAGTTTCAAGAAAAAAAATTTTTTTTTAAAATGTTGAACGTCATGAAAACCCAAACACCACACT